CGTTACCAATTGATACATATATATTTTTTTACATATACTTAACTGTTACAAATATTCAGATTTTAATAGAAAGTATATTCAAAATAGGTAACAATTTAAAAATAGGGTCTAATTATAACGGACTTACTCTATTTTGTTTTTTAGTAGGTCGTTTTAACTTTTAAATTTTTTAACGTTTTTAAAACTCTTAACAAATGGTTTAAATTTTCCTAAAACGAAAGTACTATTTTATTTTATTTAATATAAAGTTAACTTTAATTTACGTTATTTTTGACGTTAGTATTATATCATTTCTCTTATTTTTTTTTTATTTTTTTATTATCATTACCCCAGCAAAACCGTATCATCGATATATTAAAACTCAACTCAAAAATGATAAAAGTTCTTAAGATTAATAAGTTTTCTTGCGTGCATATTTGTTTATCTAAATTATATAGGTAAACAAACCCAATAAAGAAGTTTATTAAGTAATCATCTCTAGTTATAAGAATAAAAAAAATTAAAATAAGTGAATAAATATGTAAAAAAGAGTAAATAAGTAAAAAAATAATTTTAGCTGTCCTGTAAAATTAACATTTTTTGATATAATTCACTTTTGTTCGAGATTGCGATATATTACGATTTGCTTGCTGTTTGCGATTCTACACATTTACGTTCATAGTTTATGAAATAGATATATTAAAAAACAACAATTTCGTTATTCGTACCTTTCTGTTTTATCTCTATTTTACCTCTGTTGTACTACTCGTGTTTTAATTCAAATAATCTAGCTTCTATCTGAAGTTGGTGAGGTTAATTTTTCTCGAAAACGGTTGTAGCAAAAAAAAAAAACTATTCTTTCGTGAAAGAATAGCAAAAAATTAGCAAAAAAATACGGCATTAAAATTATTTGGATATTTAATTGGGTTTTAGAGATACGATATACGCCACGCTAGCTTCAGTCTGAAGTTAGCGTGGCCGCTTTTTCTCGAAAACGGCTGTAGCAAAAAAAATATTCTTTTGTGAAAGAATAGCAAAAAATTAGCAAAAAAATACGGCATTAAAATTATTTGGATATTTAATTGGGTTTTAGAGATACGATATATGGCACGCTAGCTTCAGTCTGAAGTTAGCGTGGCCGCTTTTTCTCGAAAACGGCTGCAGCAAAAAAATTAATTCTTTGGCAAAAAAATAGCAAAAAATTAGCAAAAAAATATGGTCTAATTAATTTTTGTGCCCAACAATTTTGCCACGCTAGCTTCATAGACATTAACCTCACGCTGATAGTGGAATCGAACGAGAAGGAAGATCTGAGGGACAGAGCAAATGAATCCCTAAAAGATATACACGACTGGGTGATAAAGCATAAACTGAGAATCGCGTATCATAAGACAGAGGCAGTCATCGTTAAGGGCCCTGCGAAAAGGGACGGCATAAATTTTCAGTTTGGAGGGCACACAATCCAGCACGTAAGATCATTAAAATGTCTTGGCGTTCACATAGACGATAAATGTCGATTTACTCAGCACATTAAAAGAGCTGTGGAAAAGGCGGAAAAGGCCCAAAGTGCCTTAGTCAAACTTATGCCGAAGTACCTGCAAGAGGATAATGCTTTGTTCGGTGGTACACTCAATCGTATTATATAGAGCGCCAATATGGCATCGAGGAGCGGAGTTTAAAAGATATGCAGATATGCTAACGAGACTGCTAACGATAAACTTCTTCGTCACACAGGTGCTCAGTGGGCATGGGTCTTTTAGGGAGTTTACGCATTGAATAGGAAAATCGAACGACGCCAAATTCATTTATTGCGGTGACATGAATTCGGTGGAGCATACCATCTCCAAATGCTCAAGATGGACAGTAAATGGGTCAAAGATAAACCAATATCTAGGTCATGAAATAAATGTATCAAAAATGGTGGAGGAAATGGTGGAAAGCGCGGAAAAAGCGAGGCCATACTCAAGTTTCTGGACGACGTAATGAAAGCCAAAGCGGTCGAGGAGAGGGAGGCACAGAATGCGATAGCTGAAGAGCAATAGGGAGTGTCTGTGTATATGACGATATGTCAAACTTGACAGTTCCATATACACCGTGAAAGGCACTATCTGGAGGAGTTTTAGTGGGTAGGCTCTAGTAGACTAGTTGTGAGTCCCACACACCCAGGGAAAGGAGAAACCATTATCTGGAAGTACGTAACTGTATTTCTCCCCGTCATAAAAAAAGGTATATAAGTAGGGTAGATAGATATAATAGTAGATATATGTGAAACTAAATTTATTATATAAAAAATCATTTTATAATTAAAACAGCATCTTCTTCAGCATATTTTTCAATCAGCATCTTTTTCAAAATCTTCTTATTTTGGATTCGACGACAAGGAGTAGGAAGAAGTAGGAACGAATAGGAAGGAGTAGGAACGAATAGGAAGGAGTAGGAAGGAATAGGAAGGAGTAGAAAGGAGTAGTAAGGAGTAAGAAGGAATGGGAAGAAGTAGGCAGAAGTAGAAAGGAGTAGGAAGAAGTAGGAACAAATAGGAAGGAGTAGGTAGGAGTAGGAAGGAATAGGAAGGAGTAGGAAGGAGTAGGAAGAGGAAGAAGTAGAAAGGAGTAGGAGGGTAGGAATTAGTACGAAGGGATAGGAAGGGTAAGCAAGGAGTAGCAAGGAGTAGCAAGGAGTAGGAAGGAGTAGGAAGGAGTAGGAAGGAGTAGGAAGGAGTAGGAAGGAGTAGGAAGGAGTAGGAAGGAGTAGGAAGGAGTAGGAAGGAGTAGGAAGGAGTAGGAAGGAGTACGAAGGAGTAGGAAGGAGTAGGAAGGAGTAGGAAATAATAGGAAGGAATAGGAAGGAATAGGAATAGGAATAGGAAGGTAAAATTTATTCTTAATTTTAAAGAAATTTAAAATTTAAAGAAAAGAAATGAAACCATAATTTGTCTAATTTATTTTTTTTTGTTTTCCGACTTTAACTCAATGAGTATTTTCTTTTCCTTAATATTGAACTTATTGAAGTTTTGCTTTCGTTAATCGACCTATTAGATTAAATTTATAGAAATTTGTTATAATTTTATATATAAAATAAAATTTAAATCTTCAAATAACGAAAATACAAAGCGATAGCGATAACGATATCGAAACAACAAAAAATCAGAAATGCATAAATAAGCCACGCCAGGCCGGCAGGCAAATTAAATGTCGCGAGTTTATATAAATTTAATAAATGAATATACAAGTGCAAGTACAAGTATCAGTGAAATTATATCAGGTAATTAAAAATTTAAATGCATGATCAAAAATAATTAAGTTAAATTATAACAAATTTCTATATATACAAATTTTATATACGAATTATACAAATTCGATATATCGAATTGAATATTAGAAATTTATTTCTCGAATCTTGAAAGAACGAATAAAATAAAATTGTGTTGTCGATTTGTATTTTTTGGACTATACGGTGATACAGGTGGACATTAGACTTTTCCCTGGGTCTACCGATAGTTAAGCTCAATAGGGCGTCCACGGCATTACCCAAGGACAGAATATTAGCCATCCTCAGTCCCAAATAATTTAACATAACAAGTGGAGCATTCTAAACGGCTCTAGAAAGTTCTAAATGGTTCTAAAATGGAATCTAAATCGTCCTGAGCTGTTTTGAATCGTCCTATAATTATCGATAAAGGCAATAATTAAGATAACAAGACCGATATATTAGAGATGGGCAAAACTGCTATTTTTAAAAAACAGTTGTAACTGCTAATGTCCACTCCAAAAACTTGATAAGACCGTTCTAAAACAGCTTTGATAACGATTCAAAACCGCTCTAAAATCTCTTTAAAACTGCTTAAAATCGGCCCCAAAGACCGCCAAATCCTCTACAAAGCCGCTCCAAAAACCACTTTAACACTGCTCCAAAATCTTTCTAAAACAGCTCTAATTCTTATGAACCTACCACGAACCTACCAAGTAGGTTCTAATCTAAAACATAATTACGTTTCAAAAACCTTTTAAAACTCGCTCCAAAATTCGATCTAAAACAAAGTAAATATAATTAAGCTTTAAAAACCACTCTAAAACCGTCCCAGATACAACCTCAAGCTCAAATATTAATTTAAGAATTGTGTGTCAGAATACCTCTATAACTGATTTGGCGTTATTTTTTTTTAATTCAAATGTTTAAATTTGCACATTTATCATTTAATGGCAATCTGATTGCATTAAAAATTTAGTTGCATTATTTAAAATATATATTATTTTAAATGCATTTAATTAATTAATTGCATTATTTAAAATCATAAATAAGAATTACTTTAGAAGAACTTTTGTAAATTAGAAATGTATTTATTTAAAAATATAAACAATTTAATACAGTAATATCCTGAATTATTGAATTACAAAGCACAAAATTTAACAATCAATACGACGTAAAAAAAATACAGGGTGCCCAGAAAATAGATGTCAATAATTTGGAAGCGTATAGATGACGTCAAAATAAGTGTAGAACTTCATACAAAATATTGTTCATTTGAGCCCCCATTTCTGAGCTAGAGCCTTTTAAAGTTAAAAATTTAAAACTTATTTTTACATTTTAATATTTAATTTCCAAATTATACATGGGAACAAAATATTTTTTTGTGATTTATTACTTACAAAAAAAAAATTAAATTTAAAAATCCTTTATTTATGAAGTATAAACATAAATGTGGGTGTTGTTTTATTCTAGTGAACCCTGTTATAGGAATTTACTTCCTTGTCAGGGGGTGTAGTGTGGTACAAATTATGTGGCAAATTTATGTATGGGAGCAGGCTGAGGCCGCTTTGTTCCCGTTTAAAGGTCAGCCATTTGGAAAAGAGCATAGGGAAACCTCAGAAAAACCTATGTCCTGGCCTTGTACAATACTTATTGAAGGATATTAGTGGTATTTTTTTTGGGTTTTTTTTGTTTTTTTTTTGTTTTTTTTTTGTTTTCTTTTGAGTTTTTATTTTGGAGGTTAACAAAATGAAGGGTAAACTAGCGATAAATATTCAGAGGGAAGATGTCCAGCAGGTTTTGTAGGTCTTGAGGAAGTTCGTCGGGATCGCAGGCTTGGAGGATACGGACGTTTGGTTGTGGAAGTTTTCTGCGCGATTTTCTGAACCTTTACGGTGGTGGTGCAGCTCAGAGGACTTCTCGTGCTGTGACGTTTGTTCCTCGAATGGTCCGGCATGCATATCTGCTTTGTAGTGTCTGGAAGTGAGATAAAATATTAGGAATGTTTATTTCGTTGTAAATTTTGTAAATTAGATCGCTAGGAAAAAACATGTCGAGGTATTGGGTTTTGTAGGTCTGGGGGAGTGTTTTAGGTTGGCATTTCCTTATTCTTCCCCTCAAAGCCTTGATGAGACCGGCTCGCTGTGGCACCCTGTTAAGGGTGTCTTAACAGTTAGCTAATCGCCCGAAAGCCTTAATCGGAAGAACCTAGGATTTGCGTGACGGTTAAGGGTTAAATTGGGGTGAGTAAAAAGGATTGTTTGGGTTTTATTAGGATTTAAGGAGATTCGCCATTTTTCGCACCAGGAGGAAAATAGGTTGAGTTGTTTTTGGGCCTTTTGTGTGAGCGATTCGGTTCTTTTGGAGGTGGTAAACAGGATGGTGTCGTCAGCGTAGAGTTGAATGTGGGGGTTAGGGGAGTGAGGAGGGGGAACGTCGTAGGTGTAAATAAGGTATAGGAGTGGGAGCAAGGATGGAGCCTTGGGGGATTCCTGTGAGTAAATATGAGGAATAATGAGGAATAATGGGAATAGTGAGGAATAATGTTTTGGGAGTCCAGGAATTCCCAGATACGGTCCTTAAGCAGGCGCTCAAAGAGTTTCCACAGGACATTTAGGAGGGCGATGGGTCTGTAGGAATTAGGGGTGGTGGGGTCCTTTCCGGGTTTCCGGATAAGTATGGTGTTGGAGGATTTCCAGAGGGTGGGGCAGTAGGAAAGGTGGAGGCCGGTGTTAATAAGGGTGGTTAGGCATTATGGAATCGGGGAGGTTTTTAAGGGAGCGACGGGATATTGAGTCGGGGTCAGGGGCGGAATTTTTTCCGAATTTGCAGCGTTCGGAAATTTCGGCAACGGAGAAAGGTTCTATAAGGGGTTTGTTAGGTAGGGGAGGGGGGTTGGGGCGCAGAGGGTTTAAAAGGTTTCGGACAAAAGTTTCGATTTTAGTGAAAAAATTTCGATTGAAATTGGGGTTGTTTTGAGGAGAAAAAGTTTCTTGGAGGTGGGTTTTAAAAGCGTCTGCTTTCTGTTCATTGGTGACGAGAAATTGACCATTGATGAGGAGATGGGAGTGGGTCTTGGATTTTTGTCCAGTTATCAAGGTAATCAAGTCCACGTGTGAGATCGAGATACTGTTTTTCTTTGAACTAATTTACCAAACTCCTTATTAGGGCGTTGTGGCGGTTCCACTCGGTTTTTAGAACGGGGTCGTGGGTTCGTACGAATTGGCGATAGATATGACGTTTTTGTCGAATAAGGGATAGGATATGAGGGGGTAGGGAATGGGCGGCGGTGTTAAGGGTGGTAAGAGGGGTAGAAATATCCGAGGCATCTGAGATTAGGGAATGTAGGTTCTGGGTAAAGGTTTCGATTTCGAGTGGGTTGGTGGGGGGTTGAAGAGGAGGTTGGTTTTGGGTTATGTGGTTTTGGAATTTCTTCTAGTCGATCTTACGGTAATTTTTAAAGGTGATAAATTCGGAGTGGGGTTTTGGGGGGTAGAGGGTGGATTTTGCAAGTAAGGGTCGGAGGTTATTGTGGTCCCAATGAAGCACTCATCCCCTACACATCCAGTGCACGTTTCCGTGAAAAGAATGTGGTCAGGAATAGAGGATCCTTGGTAACCCACAAAAGTAGGGGATGAATTGGGAATGCGGGAGATAGGGAGGTCGATTAGGTAGTCGGATAGGAGGTTTCCGTTTCGGTTGGAAATTGTATTACCACATTGGGTGTGGCGGGAGTTTAGGTCGCCTAGGAGAATAGGAAGGGAGGCAAAGTACTGGAATAGGGGTAGGGGGAGAATATTGGAAGGATGGTTGTAAAAGGAAATAACGGTGGTAATGGTATTAGTTTGTCAGATGTCAATTGCTAAGCAGTCCAGGTTATCGAGGGGGGGGGTAAGGGGTGAGGGTAATCCGGGATTCCGTGTCTCACTAGGATAGCGTTACCTCGGCAGAAATTGTTTTTAGGGGTGTGGACAATTTGATAACCTGTGAATGTGGTGGGGGAGACGAGTGAGGGTGTCGATTAGGGATAGGAAAGAGGGTTGATGTTGGGTTAGGAGGGATTTTAGGAGTGCTCTTTTGCGGGTGAGGCCCGCGCAATTGACAGTTCCAATTGTACTTTCCATTACAGGATAGGTGCTAAATTGTAGTAGTAGGCTAAATTGCCACTACCTGTTATTATACAGGAGTGGCCGAAAAGGATCAGAATGATCGAGCCGATTGTTTTAATAATCAGCTCGCGGTTATTGGGGAGGACATTCATGAGGAGGTTGGTGGTTATTTGAATTTGGTGGCATTTGGGGGTTTGGATTTTGGGGCAGGAGGTTTTTTGTGGTTTTCACCACAGGTAGAGCAAGTGATTTTATTGGAGCATTCGCTAGCGGAATGACCGTTTTGCAAACACTGGGTACAGAATTTCGGGATAGGGGGGTAGGGTTGGTGTTGGAGGGTTCGACTGGGCGGATTTGGACATGGAGACCTATGCTTTGGGTAACCGCTCGAGTAAAGTGAGTCTCCGACTCAGTTATAACCCTTACGAGTCTGGTAGGGAGGTTGGTTGCTTTGGAGATAATTCTCTGGAGATTTTTTAAAAGGGATTTCCTGGACTTTCAGGGACTTATTGGAATTCTTCGTCGGTAACGTTGGTGTCGATGTTCTTTACGACGAAGGAAAAGGTGGGTTTAGTGGGGGGGTTTGATGGTAGCGTTTCCGCTAGGAGAGGGGCTGGATAGGGGGATGAGGATGATGTTATTATCACCGGTTTAATTAAAGTTGGCTTTGAGGCAGGTGATTTCATTTAAAAGGAGTTCGTTGGTGTTAAGAAGTAGGAAAAGTTCATTTTGGGAGCGTTATTTTAGAGGTAAATTTCGGATTGTTATGGAGGTGAGGGGTGGTTGTTTAGGGGTGGGAGTTGGGGTAGGTGCTTGTGAAATAGGTGAAAATATAAGAGGTGGTAAGGTAATTAGGGAGGTAGAAGAGGAAATAAAAGAGGCGGAGGAGGAAGAGGGTATTTTGGAGAGTGAGGGGGTAGTTTCGTGGGGGTTACTTGGGTTGGTTTGTATCCGTTGTCGGGTGGTAGGGGAAGATTGAACAACGGAAGAAAATAATTTTGTCTTGGGATTAGGGGGTTTGAAAATGTTTTTTTTGGGGAGCATATTGTCGAAAAGGGGGGTTGAATCCCGTGTGGGTGGTCAATGGGTTCTTTTTTGGGGTGTGTAGGTAATTTGATTATGGGTGGGTTTCGGAATACTTATCTGACTTGTAAAACTAGGTAGCTAAAAGCTTATCGGGATCTGTTTCAGACCCGATACGTCCCTTCTTCTGTCACAGTGATTAACAATTCGATTAACCTTTATGGGTACAATCTGTATAAAGCAAAAAAATGTCTTAAATACATTATTTAATCGAAAAACTAACAAAAAGTAATTTTGTTTGAAGTTGATAAAATTAACGTTTTGTAAGAAATATTAATTTTTAGATTGAGATGATAGGTATAGAGAGAAATGTAAGCAATTTTTTGTTTTTAATGGTCGAGAAATGTCTGTTGTAAAAGTGTAATTATTAATTAAAATATTACTATTTTATAACTTCCAAGCACTATCACAAGCACGATATGACGGATGTCATATTGTGTAAAAATTGAAATAGTGTGATTAAATTGTAAAAGGATTGTTAATCCAAGCAAGGGAGAATCTTACAAAATTGGGATGTTTATAGGATCACATGTTACAAAGGATCTTCTACAAAATCTTTGGAGGGCTTAGAAGAGCAAGCAATTAGAGCGGTTATAAAACAATTTTAGAGCGATTTAGAATCGGTTTTAGAAGAGCAATTCTGAAGCAGTTTAAAAGACGTTTAAAAGCGATTTGTGAAGAACAATTGGATAATATCTCCAAAACTGCAGGAGCTCAAAAAATATCAAAATAAAATTTGAAATTTCGGTAGATCGGTAATGAAGCGTTTGTGGATCAATTTTTATATGAATTTAGTCAACATAATACAACAAACATAATACTCTCGTAAAAAATATAATATTCACCAAAACAAATATTCTACACAATTTTTTTTGTTGAGTTAATAGTAATTTTGCTACTACTAATTGATCGGATACTATCTAACTATTTGATATTAATGATTTGATAATAACTGTTTACACGGGAAAATAATATTGTGTAGAATATTTGTTTTGATCCAATTCATATGCGACTGGGCTCGTATTTACAGAACACAACAAACAATCTTTCAATAAGGGTTAAATAAAGCAAAAATACTAATTAAATATTTTATTATAAACTGAAACTGAAAAAATTAAAAGAACTGTTAACTGATCAAAAGAACGTATTGGTATTATTTTAAAGTGAAATTAGAAAAAAAACAGAGATTGGATTTAATAATACAGCCCATTTCACTGATAATAATTCTCATGAAATAATATTACACTGTAAAGATTGCGATAGTCTCCATTTGAATCTTTACTGAAGTAATCTTTCTTTGGCTCAACTATAAGTAAACCGTTTGCTTTATCTAAATTACTTAATACGCCTGGTACTTCCTTTGCAGTTGTCATTCCAGTCAAAGTTCTAGTTACTTTAACTAGTCGGTACTCTGGACAATCATCATTATTATATGGCAATGAACACTAAAAAATGAAATTTATTGTAATATTATATTCTATACTCTGTTTTCTATCAAGAAATAGTAAAAAAATAATAAAGCAGTAATTTATAGGGGCACTAACAAATAAATACAACCTAGTAACAGGTAATACCCTGTATACTGAGAAAACTAATAAAGTAAAATAAACATAACTATTATACAATGGTAAAAGCTGTAACGTTTTGGAATTTTATGATTTTTTTTAGTAAAGAAAAGCAAAGAAAAGTAGAAAATATTTTCATTGAATAGAGCGCATCGACTAATACTTGTACACAAATTTTCAAATTTTAATTACAACTACTTTTCCAGATACTTCTAATGTGCCCTCGTCGTGACACACACTGTATAGCTTCCTTATTTCAAACAAAACGTATTTCGAATATAATTATTCCTCTGTTAACAAAACGTTTACTTACCTCAAATGCTCTTAGTGATATAGAAATAAGTACAAAACGTTCGTTGAGAGATTTTTCCATTAAGCGTAGAGCAGGAATAACGAATAATATACAAGTTATTGCACGGGAAGATGGATTACCCGTTAGGCCAAATACGATTTTCAATGTTTCATTATACATAAGTGTTGCAAAGGTCGTGTATTTTCTATAATACAATGATAATCATTTAATCATTGAAATCTTTAAAGTTACGAAACTTTGACTTACCCGGGTTTCATCTTTATCCTGCAAAAATATATATTAGCTTGAAAATCTTCGACGAGAACCCGTTTCAACATGTCCAATTCTCCCATTAAACTGTTCGTTATAATAACATCGTTACAAGTAAAACTTTGTTCAAGAGCATGCTTTATTGCATCAGGACTAAAAATTATTGTATTAAAAAAGGATCAAATACATCAGGATTAATTATTACTTGTCTTTAGCTATACCACAATCGTTTGCTTCATAATGGAAATTTTTAAGCAAATTAATTAAGGTGAATCTATTTGCATCTCTGATTTTGCCAGGGGCTAGTTTTTCTTTAGGTTCACAAATATTATTTCCAATTGATATGACTCCTATAGAAGGGCGTCTAGAAAAAAATGTATTAAAGTAAAGGAGGGAACTTTTAGGAAACTGAATATTCAACATACTTATAAACCAAAATATTTGTTTTTCCTAACATGGCTAAAACTCCAAGAGAGAAATGTTTGATACGTTCGCCTTTTTTTAAAACCCAAGAATTCTTCGATACGTCGCTTCCGATTTCTCTAAAAAAATTACTAAATATACCACAATTGTATTTAAAAATTTTCCCTTACCTTATGTTTTCATAGTAGTTGGGTGCTCTTTTGATTTTAGGACAAGGGCCAGTTTTTATCCTAAAAATAGAATATAAAAATGGGAACCTCGATCGAAATAGGACAGTTCCATGCGAAGTGATTTTCCGGAACATCCAAACCAACCCCAAGGTAGGAGAAAGACTGGTGAGTGTAGTCAACTAGATTTTGCTTTGCTTTTCGATTTTGTTTAATAAGTCGGGTTCTGCTTGAACCTAACTACCGTCCTATAGTCCTGCTGAGAAGCGTTCTATAGATCCGATCCTTCGGCATACTCGAATTTTCATTGTTCTGCTGAGAAGCGTTCGGTAAATTCGATATCTCGAACCGTCTAGCCGCTGTATGTTACATCCCTGCTGAGAAGCGTTATTGTAACATATAGACTGGACTTTTCCGAATCCTGCCTAGTTCGATTTTCACTGTTCTGCTGAGAAGCGCTCGGTGAAATCGACAACGTATCGTCTAGCGGTTGTGCTTTACATCTCTGCTGAGAAGCGTTATTGTAAAGTACATACTAGATTTTCCCGAATTTCTTATCCTTCGGCATACTCGATATTTATTGACCTGCTGAGAAGCGTTCCATAAATTCGATATACCGAAGCGTCTTACCGTTGTGTTTTATTTCTCTGCTGAGAAGCGTGATAATAATACATAGACCGAAGACTTCTTTTCCTAAAATTTTCCCGACACTCATTTTCCGATTTTACTATTAATATAGAAATCGAGCAAAATCTATACGACTACGCCTGATTTATTTTGTAATACGAAACGATTTTAAACAACCGTTTATATTTGAAAATTTCATTTTTTCCGAAAACGTTTCGTAGAACAAATCCGATTTCCTAAGTACCGCTTAGTCTGATTTTTCCGCTTTGCAATTTTTTCGCTTTTCTTAAATAACCGATACTTTTCCTTTCTGTTTCAAACAAAGAAACTGTATATTTTATTTTGTAATATATTTAATCGTGAAATCCTATCTGGTGTATTTTACTGCTTCAATATTACAAACTATATTTTGCATGAGTAAATAACAAAACTACTATAGTTACTTCCGTACGGTCGTCTAGACGATTGACTACCCGGTGTGGGCCCGTGTACGGTGGCTCGAGCGGGCGACGGATTTTTTCGAGCCTGCAAAAAACGTGTGAGCACGATCGGAGGTCGGCGAAAACAAACGGCCGATGTTGGACATGTCGCGCTGCAGGGGCTGGACGGATGGCGTCGAACAGGTTTCGGAGCTTGGAGACGAACTCAGCCTGATTGATGGGTGCGTTTTGGGCGGCGATGAACTCCCCATGAATGCGAAGAGCGGTGCCGAAAACCATTTCCGCCGGGGACGCCTGGAGATCTACCTTAAATGCCGTGCGGAGGCCGAGTAGCACCGAAGGTAGCGCTTGGGGCCACGGCGTGTCCGGGCAACACATGAGTGCGGCCTTAAGCGTCCGGTGGAGGCGCTCGACCATCCCATTCGATTGGGGGTGGTACGGAGCGGTAAACCTATGGTTCGCTCCGAGGAGAGCTTGTAGCTGGGCGAAGAGGTTTGCTTGGAACTGCTTGCCCTGGTCTGTGGTGATGGTGAGGGGAGTCCCAAAAATACTGATCCAACCTTCAAACAAAGCCCGTGCGACTGTTGGGGCGGTCTGGTCTGTTAGCGGAACGGCGAGGGGCCAGCGGCTGTATCTGTCTATGACTGTTAAACAGTACTGGAGTCCCTGGACAAGAGGAAGTTTGATTAAATCGATGTGGATGTGATCAAACCTGTGGTCGGGTGCGTCGAAATTGCCGAGAGCCGCCCGGTTGTGTCGGTGTACTTTGGCAATTTGGCATGATTGGCATTGGCGAGCCCAACGGGACACATCTTTCCGAAGCCCTGGCCAGAAATACCTCCCAGCTATGCGTTTGGCGGTAGCTCTTCCGCTTGGGTGGGAGAGAGCATGCGCCGAGTCGAAGGCCGCTCGTCGGAGGCTAAGCGGCAGGTAAGGCCTGATGAGGTTGCCGGATGACAAGGCGTGGATTTTGCGGCCGTCGAGTTGGAGTTCCTGCAGCCCCAGGCGGGTGTTGGTCAGGAGGTGTGGGAGCTGTTCATCCGTGGCCTGAGCTGAGCTGATGGCGACTGCGTCCAGGGTCGTGGGAGTCGTTACGGTGCAGACTCTAGAAAGAGCGTCTGCGACGACGTTTTCGAGGCCGGGTGTATATTTCAGCTTGGTGTCGAACTGCGAGATGTAGTCTAGCTGTCTTTGCTGCCTGGGCGATGCCTTGTCCGAGCGTTGGGAGAGGGCATACGTGAGAGGCCGATGGTCCGTGAATGTGGTAAACGGCCTACCCTCGAGAATTCGGTCGAAGTGCTTGATGGCAGCGAAAATGGCAAGGAGCTCCCTGTCGTACGCACTATAGCGGGATTCGGCAGGGCTGAGCTTGCGTGAGAAGAACCCTAGTGGAGTCCAGGAGCCATCTGGTTGCTGTTGGTCCAGTGCTGCACCAACCGTGGAACCTGATGCGTCTGTACGAAGGGCGAGTGGGGCAGTAGCAGACAGGAAGGTGACTCGGGCTGCTTCGGCGAGGCTTCCCTTGCAGCTTTGGAATGCGTTTGACGCTGCGTCTGACCACTCGAGTTTGGTCCTCTTCTTGCAGGCCCCTTTGAGCAGATCTGCTAGCGATGCCTGAAGGGAGGCGGCGTTGGGTAGGCAACGCCGGTAGAAATTGACCATCCCGAGGAAGCGACGAAGCTGGGTCGAGTCTTCCGGGCGCGGGAAACTAAGGATGGCCTCTACCTTCCTCGGAGGTGGTTGGTAGCCGGCGCTGGAGATGAGATACCCGGCGAAGGTGACTGTTGGCATCCCGAAGTGGCACTTGCTCCAGTTGATGCGCAAGTTCGCATCGCGCAAGGTCTCGAAGAGGAGTCGCAAATGGTGTAAGTGTTCTTCGTGAGACCTGGAAAATACCAGGAAGTCGTCGATGTAGCATCTGACGAAGTCGAACTTCCTCAGCAAATGGTCCATCATCCGCTGAAGGGTCTGCGCGGAATTCCGGAGTCCGAGCGGCATGCCGACAAATTCGAAGAGGCCGAAAGGTGTGGTAACGGCCGTCTTCGGGATGGCTTCCTCAGCTACTGGCACCTGATAGAACGCCCTCTGCAGGTCTATGACCGAAAAGACGACGCCTTGGGCACCCTGGAGGATATCCTCTATGACTGGAAGCGGGTAGCGGTCGGGAATGGTGCAGGTGTTGAGGCGACGGTAATCGCCCGTTACTCTCCATCCTCCGCTCGGCTTGGGGACGAGGTGTAGCGGACTCGCCCATTGACTGGACGAGGGGCGGACGATTCCACGGTCCATGAGGTCTGCGAATTGCTCTTTGGCCGTGGCGAGGCGGTCTCCTGCGAGGCGGCGCGGCCGTTCGAAGACTGGAGGGCCTTGCGTGTGGATGGCGTGTTGCACCGGGAGGTCCGGAAGAGTTGTAGTGACCTCGGCAGGGGCGGCGAGTTCTGAAAAAGACTGAACGAGTTGTGTGTATGCCGTGCCGGAGCTTCCATCTGGCACGGTGTAGGTCTGCGCTATGGTGACGCTGTGGACCTGGGCAGGCTCCATGGAACCTCTGACGGCGACTTGGGTGAGACGGTCTAGCAGTCGTCTTCCTTGGAGGTCGATTAGGATCCCGTAGCGAGCCAGGATGTCGGCTCCAATGATGGCCGTTTGTACGTCGGCGACGACGAAGCGCCAGGCAACTGGCCGGCGAAGACCCACATCGAGGACGAGCTGGCGATGTCCGTACGTGGCGATCGGCGATGAGTTGGCTGCCTGGAGGACCAGGTCTTGGCGTTGCGGGCTTCCGGCTACGGTTGTCCTGGGGATGATGGAAACCACTGAGCCGGAGTCGACGAGGAAGCGGATGGAGGTTGTTCGGTCTAGAACATGGAGACGGTTCTCGGCGTGAAAGGTGCCGGCGACGTCCTGTCCGCGGATCGCCGGCGTTCCTAGTTTTCCGACGTTGTAGGGCCAGCTGCTGCGATGACGCCTGGCCAGGCGCACGGCGGCTTACAGCGGTTGGCTTGGGCTCCCCAACGCATGTGGTACCAGCAGACACCAGGAGGAGCGTTGGCGGCTGGAGTTGCGGAGCGGTCACGGTGTTGGGATGCGGATCGTCCGGTGGAACGACTGCGTCTCGTCTGGTCCTCCTTCGTGGAGGAAATGAGCTGCGAAATCATCCGGCGTAGGGCGGCAACTTCCTGGGCCAGGTCGGACGATGTTACCAATGGCGGGTTCGCTGTCGGGGCTGGAAGTGCGGGAATGTGCAGACGTGCCGGTGGTGCGGGGTATGCGGCGGCCATGACGGGTGGGCCGCAATCGTGGACCTCATCTGCGGCCTCAGCTAGCTCGGCGAGGCTCTTCCCCCGGAAGAGTCGTAGAATGCGACGGGTGGCGGGCGGTAGGAGGTCCAGCCACTTAATCCGCAGAACATCGTCGCTGACGCCCCCCTTCGCCAAGGATTGCATCTGCCTGAGGAGCTGCGAAGGCTTGCGATCGCCGAGCTCCAGTCCCGTGAGGAGCTTATGTAGCTGTAGGTCTGCGGAGTCCGTCATCCGTTGGAGGATAGCTGCCTTGAGTGATACGTACTTGTTCGCTGCAGGTGGGTCGCGGAGGACGTCGGCCACCTCCCGTATCGTGTCTGGGTCCAGGGCGGCGACCACCAGATGGTACCGCGTGTTGTCGTTGTGCACGCGGTGCACTTGTAGTGCGGATTCGATCTGGATAAACCAAAGTTCCGGATCGACGCGCCAAAACGCGGGTAGTCTGCATCTTGCTGACGGCGCCGACTGCTGGTTGAGCGCTGCTGGAACCCGGAGGGG